TATTTTGCTTTCATTTAACATTCGAAATACCAAACTATAAATTGCCTTTAAAATTATACCTAATTGTCCGGTAATTGTAAGTGTACAAGTTTAAATAACTGGGTGTAGCACTGATTAAATAACTTCGTTTAAATTCAAAAAACACAGTTTAAATTAAATCATCAATTAGAACTTTTTATTTCCACAGACATATTTGTGATATTGTACTTGCGTGATACTGTATAATTTGTGATACTGCGTACTCTCATTTTTGCTCTGTTACAATCTAGATTACAATGTGCTACAAGTGGTTGAGGAATTTCTTGATTGGATTAATATTTTAAGAACTACTCAGAATAATTTTATTAACATAATTTTATTTTAGTAAAAAAGATAATTTCGTTTACATTATACTTACAAAAAAGTTACAGAAGAATTTTCTATAAATGTTATGGAAACAATGTCACAGACTACAAGAAGTAAAAAACCAATAATTTTACGAATGTTTAAATGTCACAGATACTAAAAATGATTCTATAATAATCCCTCACATACAGATTTTTTGCAAATAAAATCAATATTTCATAAAACCATTTATTTTTGTAGTGAAATAAATCTGTTTATTTTTTTACAAGCTATCAAAATATTCCTGATATTAATACACAATTTCAGGTCTACTCTTTTTTCTTGTGAAACCTTTTCTTTTCTCTTTGAAGTTTCTCCGAACTCATTTCTGGTTTCCTTCTTTGGTTTCTCGATTGAGCATTTAACAATAGTTAGCGAACATCCTAATATCCTATTTTCGTTGGAAAAGTTACTCAAAATTACGGACACTCTAATTAAATCTTTAACCCTCTTCTTCACTGTGATCTCCCATGTTTTGAAGAAAGTAGTCAATATGGTTGTGTAAAAAAAGAACATTTAAGGCCATCTTGAATTCTTGAGCTTCAAACGCTGCCAGCATGAGTGATAGAATGGTTTCGTATTCAGGGTCGTTAGAACCTAGGTCTCCCAAAACGTGTGCATTACATTCCTGAAAGAGTGCTGCCGAGTGGCTGCCATTCTCTCCGATGACTCCACGTACTCGCTTCTGGAGCACAACCCGGTACCGGAGCATAACCGAAACCGCCGCGAGATTTCGCAACTCGCATTGCATACAGGCTTCGAAGAAGTTGGCCTTGTGTCGGAACAACTCGTCGACGCCCAGGTTTTACGGCCTACCTAAGGTACACAAGCCTGGCGTGCCACTATGCCCCATCGTCAGTGCCATCAATTTCCCGACACACGCCCTGGCGAGACTTGTCGCTGACCATCTCGCGCCGCTCGCCGAAGGTATGCAATACGCCGTGCGGAACTCTACGCACTTGGTTGACATCATTCGGCAGCAAAGACTGAAGGAAGGTGATATGCTGGTCAGCTTTGACGTGACTTCCCTCTTTACAAAAGCTCCAGTACATGAAGCCGTGGAAGTTATACGTCAAAAGTTGCAGAATCGTAGCCAGCCGACAGAATGGGCTGAACTGGCTGCATTCTGCCTAAACTCCACATTCTTTCAGTACCAGGACCGGCACTACGCCCAAGTGGAAGGCGCGGCTATGGGCTCGCTGCTGTCTCCCATCGCTGCCAATCTTTTCGTGGAAGCTTTCGAATCAGAGGCTCTACGAAACGCCTTGCACAAACCGTCTCTCTGGGTGCGGTAGGTGGACGACACCTTTGTTATCTGGCCACACGGACCGGAATTATTAGAAGAGTTCTTACTGTTCCTTA